AGTAAGCCCGTATGTCTCGCGCCAGTCTGAAATATTCTAATTACCGAAATATGCTCATGCAGAAAGCTTTTTGCCAGTAATAGAGCAGCGAGTCTGGAAGAGCTCCTAGGGTTTAACAGACCAGAGGCTGCTGAGATTTGACCTTAACCGCCGGCACTTCCCGACGCCTCACACGCTGAGCGCGGCACTTGGGCATCTGCCCCTCTCTGTGCTACGCGGAAACGCTCGCTGGGGACACTTTCTCGCTCCCCGGTCTGGGTGAAGCCTGGGAGGCCGGCCAGGGAGGGGGCGGGAGGGTTCGCGGGGAGCCGGGCCCTGCCTCACGGCTGGAGCGTCAGTGCGAACGAAAACAGACGGCTTTGTTCTCTTCTCTCCGGCCTTCCTCAGGTGGGTGCTGGAGGTACGATGTACTTCTGCGCTTGTTGAGGGGACGTTTTCATTCTCCCGCGCTTGGAGGCGCACGTCTGCCCCCGTGGGGACCTGGCGCCTCGCCCCCGACGGCTCCCAGGAGGAGCGCTGGCGAGCTCGCGCCCGGACGCCGGGAAGCCTTGCGGCGCTGCGAACGTCTCGGAAACCCCAAGTGCGTCTCTGGTCGTGGGGGCCAGGCGGCATTATGCCCCACTGGTTTGCTACAGTTTCCTTCCTTTCTTTCTTGGTGTGTAAAATGACGATGTGCCTTGATTGGATAAAATATGTTCATTTTTAAGTGATTGAGACAGGTATTGCTCTTTTTTAAGTACTAAATATTTCTTAAAATGTATGCGTTCCAGGTCCCCAGGAAATGTTGGAAATTAGACTTATTTGAGGGTGATATATGCACGGAAGGCCCTGACTTCACCAAGTGCAATATATCAATGTAACAAAATTGCACTTGTACCCCCTGAATATATACCAATAAAAAATAAATGGGGAAAAAAGATATAACATCTTAGCACCCCACTCCTCTCCAATTTATAACGCTAGTAATCTGTCCCCACACTAGGCCAGAGAAAATAGGGTCCAGGTCTAATGCCTCAGCCCTCCTCCCACACGAAGGCCACCACTGGGTAGTCCTGCCTTGGGGGTGGGGGACATTTCCAGTCCCCCCTGAGTCAGCCTAGACCAGGAGGAATGATTGGCAACCCCTCGGGGCTATTTTACTTTGCTGGCGTTGTTAAGGTATTCAATTTCAGGAAAACTGCCTTTCTGACATATGCTGTGGCCTCACATGGCTTTGTTAAGTCATTGCCAGTGGCCCCAAAGCCCCCATCTCCATCAGGGAAGAGCTGTTTTATCTGGAGGCAGAGTAGGCCTTCTGCCAGACCACCACCACCCTGAAGTTAAGACAAATGCCAAAGCTCCTGGGTCTGGAAGGCCCCCTATCAAGGAGTGGGCCATGCCCCTCTAGAAGACATTTAACAATAAGGAATGCCCCACTGCCCAGTGTTGCCCCAGCTCTCCCAAACTGCATCCAGCAAGGGACTTGGCCTGCTTTGTGCCATAGGTGGCCATGATATCGCTCTGAGCTCCCTGTGACTGCACCCTTAAACCTTCCCCTGATCCCTCATAATGCAGGTGACAGTGACTTTCTTAAAGGGAAATCCTCAGAGATGCTGTATTTTAAAACCTTTTGGAAATGTTTATAGTTTAACTGTTTTTTTAGCACATTCTCTGAAATGAACTTCTCACTCACTCTCATAGCTTGGCTAGGACATTGGTGGGGATATACCCTTCCTTTGGGTATGGAAGGAAGTAGGTTTTTAGTAAGCAGTAAGCTTTATGACACATTCTTTGTTGCAATTTCTCAAATTATTTACATTTGGAGAGTGCACAGACGTTGTCATCAAATGGCAGGTGCATACCCCCTTATGCCATACCAGTAATGTGCCAGAATCCACTATGACCCAACCTGAGACTGCAGGATGCAAACAGGTAGCACACAAGCCCCATACGCACTGCAGGTAGGGTTTCTTTGGCCTATAAGTGTCTTCGAAAGTGTCTTTGTGTGTCTTTGTCTTTGCCTTTGTCTTAAGAAAAGCCAAATTCATTGCTACCTTTCAAAATCAGCAAAATTCACATAAAATCTAAATTTCCAGCTTCTGTTAGAAAATGGGAAGATTTGGCCAACATGTGCCTACAGTTTCCTGCCATGGTAACCATCAGTGGAGGTGGGGCACTGGGTAACCCATACTGGGCACTGCTCTCCCATTCACCACAATCCCCACCAAACCCAACTGAGGACACCTGGCTGCTTTGCTCATTGACATCACTTGCTCATTTGCAATCTTTGAAAATAAACTGAAGTTTGTAACACAAAACCAGGCTCCTAATGATGAGGTCAAAGAGGTTAAGCGCCGTTTGCTTCCCAGATTGTGCGGGACAGTCTCTCCTGTGTCAGCAGAGGGTTCTCGGAGCAGTCCGGGGCAGCCCCTTCCCAGATGATCCCACGTTGTTCTCACGCTGCCCCTTGTCAAGGCAGGACAATTCTCCTCTGGGTCCTGTGTTTCAAGAAGAGTGTTGGGATCGAGTTGTTTTTTTTTTCCAAAAACTGATGGATGATGGGTGGAGATCAAAGAGTCAGTGACAATGGTACATTAACTCAAAAAAGAAACCAAATCTTGATGCAGGACATACACATATTACTTAAAATCCAGCAAGGGCATCTCAAATGCTAAAGGGCACCATCACATTGGCTGTCTCCGCCACCATGCCATCCCCATTCCCCAGATTGAAAAGTGGACCTATAGGTGGGGAGGCTTCACGTGACAGCTGAGACAGGAAACAGGAAGCGGATAAAGGGCCCACCTCCATAGCAAAAGCCAGATATCTGTGGTCAGTCCCCCTCATGGAGAGACTTTCTAAAAGGAGCAGTTATTCTTGGGTGAGCACTTACCTAGCATGAGAGAGGGTAATGTTATCCCAGGGAAAGTAATGGGAGGGCACACATTGTTCATGCATTTGGTCCTTTCTCCATCAACAGTAAGGAAGGATTCGTGGCACCTGTCACGGTCTAGATAGCGACAGGCAACAGCCCTCGCTATGGCTGAAAACCCCTGACAAATCACAGTGCTGTTTTCCCAGGCTGACCATGTGTCCAAGTCTTTTGAGCCTTGGTTTCCCCACTTAGGAAATGAAGACACTACCTTTTGCCCCTCATGAACCTCATAGGGGTTTTCTGAAGGTTACTCCTGGTCACCATGTGTCCCACAGATGGGTTTGGTTTGGTGGGCAGTGTCCTAAACCACTTACAAATTCAGGTCTGACTTGTTTCTTTGTGTAGGCGAGAATGGATGGCATGCATTCTCCATGTTACCCTAGGCATGTCCCAAACGTCACATTAGGCTTTCTGGCATGTGCATATTCTGCTTGGTCACTGCAGGCATTTGAGTTTGGGGTAAATTTTCTTTTTCTTGTGCTCAGGTACTGTGGCTGCCTTTCTGAAAATGTTAACATGTAGCATATCGTGGAGTAATAGAACCATAGAACTTCCAAACTGAAACCTTCCTTTATGTTCTGAAAGATTAATTAAAGTGAATATATTAACACCCGCCCCCCAAAAACAGAAAGTATGACGTGGGAGGTTGAACTTAGCAGGGCAGGGCTCAAAGCTGGATTTAGCTGCTTGCTGACTTTGACCTTTAGCTAAAAAGGTAGTACACGATTTAAAGCGTGAGATAAAAAGAATCCATGCTTTTCAACCACTTAAATCCACATTAATTAAGCTCTCTAAAGGAAGGGCATTTAAAACTGTATATGACAAGGAAATATTTATTGCAACATTTCTTATAATAGTGAAAAATTAGAAACCG